CTCCTCTCCCTCCTCCTCTCTCCTCCTCCTCCTCCTCCTCCTCCTCCTCCTCCTCCTCCTCATCGCTCTCCCTCCTCCTCCCCCTCCTCCTTACTCTCCTCCTCCTCCTCCTCCTCCTCCTCCTCCTCCTCCTCCTCATCGCTCTGCCTCTCCTCCCCTTCATTCCGATCCTCTTCCTCCGTCATGCCCACTTTCCTATCATGCTCATGAGAAACGTGAAAATGGGGGTGCAGTAAAGTTCTCACAGGCTCTCACGCGCGCGCGGACATATATCGATCTGGTCTAGTCTGCGCGTAAAGTATACACTACGCGCCATTAAGCTATAATCCACGTCCCACAAATTGGCAGTCTGGACTACAGAGAGATCAATCCCCCTGTTGAGGACATCACTGTAGAACGAACACCTGTCTATAAAGGACACTTTGGGGTGGGGTTATCTTTGAGTGTCAGCTACACAATGAAACCACCGCTATAGAAAGAACACTTACTATAAAGGACACCCTTTAATTTCCTTGAGTAAGCTTTATTTACAGGACTGTTTATACGCGGAATAAGTCACCAGCACCGCCGCCAGCGACATCGGGTATGTGTCTGTCTCTCACATCTCTCTCACATCTCCGCCAGGTAATCCGCTCTGTCGCTGCGGTGTTATTGTTTGCGTCGCTGATAGGCGTCTAGTGAGAGACAGATTCCCCTATCAGCTAATCAACATACAATGGAATGCTCATATGACATAATAATAATAATATCTGAAATATCACCACTAGCAACAGAATCAGTAATAGGCTAATAGACGGAGCAGCGACATCAGTGCTATCAGTGGCAACATCAGCCACCACCGCCACCGCCACCACCACCTCTACAACCACCACCAACGACAACGGCAACGGCAACAACGACAGTAACAATAACAATAACAATAACAATAACCATAACAATAACCACCACCACCACAATCATCATAACCACCACCACCACCACCACCGCCGCCATCACCATCTTCGCTATCACCACCACCATCACCATCACCGCCACCACCACTACCACCACCATCACCATCTTCGCTATCACCACCACCACCATCACCGCCACCACCACCACCAATACCACTATCACCATCTCCGCTATCACTGCCACCACCCCCACCACCAT